TAAAAAAAAAAAAAGATTTTCTTTATTTGTTTGAGAGAGAGGAGAGTGCATGAGCCAGGAGGTGGGGGTCGGGGGTGGGGGTGGGTTGGCAGAGGGAGATGGACAAGCCGGTTTTGTGCTGAGCAGGGAGCCTGACAAAGGGCTCAACCCCATACCCCTGAGATCATGACCTGAGCTAAAGTCCGAAGCTCAACTGACTGAGCCACCCAGGTGTCCCATGATGGAGCTAGTCTTTTTTTAAATATTTTTATTTGACAGAGACACAGCGAGAGAGGAAACACAAGCAGGGAGAGTAGGAGAGGGAGAAGCAGGCTTCCTGCAGAGCAGGGAGCCTGATGCAGGGCTTGATCCCAGGACCCTGGGATCATGACCTGAGCCAAAGGCAGTCACTTAACGACTGAGCCACCCAGGCGCCCCTGGAGCTAGTCTTATATAGAATATTACGAAGTTTGGTATTTATTTTTTTTTAGATTTTTAAAAAATTTTTATTTTATTATTTGAGAGAGAGAATGAGAGAGAGAGAGAGCACGAGGTGGGGAGGGTCAGAGGGAGAAGTAGACTCTCCACTGAGCAGGGAGCCCCATGCAGGACTCGATCCTGGGATTCCAGGATCCTGACTTGAGCCAAAGGCAGTCGCTTAACCAACTGAGCCACCCAGGCGCCCAGGAAGTTTGGTATTTAGTGAATGCTGGACTTTCAGAAATGGGAGTGTTAAGGGTTGGACAGATTTTTGGTTCTGTTATCACAGGCACTGGAGTACCTTTACTCTTCAGAAGCTCACTGTCAGAAACATGGCCATTGGAGTGAGGCACTTGACTGATTGGCTGTTGGCTAGGAGCCTGGGATTGTCCCTGATTGGCTGTCTTTCTGGACTGGGATTTCTAACTGATTGATTGATTTTCAGAAGTTTAGTAATGATACTGATTGTCTAGCTTTCAGGAGTGTAGTACTCGAACAAGGCTGACTCTACTGGGCTGATTTTCAGAGCCATGTATATAGATGCACAAGTATCTCAAATGAACTGTGAGTAGTTGTTAAAACTAGTTTTGTTAAAAGGATAGGCTTTTCCTTTTTTTTTTAAATAGAGATTTTATTTATTTATTAGGGAGAGAGAGAGAGAACATGTGTGAGAAAGCACAAACGGTGGGAGGGGCAGAGGGAGTGGGAGAAACAGACTCCCCACTGAGCAGGGAGCCCAACACCAGGCTCAAACCCAGGACCCATGAGATCATGACCTGAGCCAAAGGCAGATGCTTCACTGACTGAGCCACCCAGGTGCCCCACTCTTTTCCTTTCTTGAATTTGAAAATTAAGAATTTCAAATTCTAAGTGCCATCTATTGATCTTCCCTTAGCCTACCTTGCAGGACAAATCATAAGGAATTGTCTCTTTGTTTTTTATAAGCTCTACACCCAACGTGGGCTTGAAATCATGATCCTGAGATCAAGAATCACATGCTCTACAGACTGAGCCAGCCATGCCCTCCAGGAATTGTCATGATCTTTATTTGTAGAGATATGATTTTCAACTAGTGTTGTCATTTAACGGAGTTTAGTATCAATTACTGTGGTGGCAAAATAGATCTAACTGCTGAATTTTGGTAGTTTATTGAGAAAAGCTGAATATAAAACACTTTAGGCATCCTGACAGTATCAATGAAGAATGCAGAACAAAAATCATTGAAGGTAGGATATGTCCTATATTATAGAGAACTCCTGGAAACCCCACTCATGATGTGCCTCATGCAATCAAGACAGTGCCTAAAACCTAGTAGTTGCTCACTGAACATATATATGAGTTACCCTGACAACATAATTTTGCTATTGGTATTTACCATTCTGACCTTTTCTAAATACCCTCTTTATTTCTCCCTCCAATTGCTCCATGTTCCAGGAATAAAAAAAGAAAGAAAGAAAGAAAGAAAGAAAGAAAGGACAAACCTGTAGACAAAGCTTTGACTGTGGTCAAGATTCCAATACAGCTATGTACTCAGCTTCATTTTTTCATTTCTCATACTTCAGTACTCAGAAATTTTTTCAATGATAATCTCAATTCCCTCTGCTGAAACCTACCTAAAATAACACGTGAAGGGAAAACATCTGCCTTCAGCTCAGGTCATGATCTCTGGGTCCTGGGATGGAGCCCTGCACTCAGCATGGAGTCGGCTTGTCCCTCTCCCTCTGTTCCTCCTCCCACTCTCTCACTCTCTCATATATAAATAAATCTTTTTTTTTTTTTTTTGGTAAGTCAGGAACTCACTTCGTGTTCAAACAGAAATCTTTTTTTTTTTTTAAGATTTATTTATTTATTTATTTGAGAGAGCACTAGAGAGAAAGCAGGAGGGGGGGCAGAGGGAGAGGGAGAAGCAGGCTCCCCGGTAAGCAGGGAGCCCGATGCAGGGCTACATCCCAGGACCCTGGGATCAGGGCCCAAACAGAAAGCAGACGCCTAACCGACTGAGCCACCCAGGAACCCCAAATAAAATCTTTAATAATAAAATAAAATAACACGTGAAACGGTAATTACTTCACAAGGAGGACATGACCTCATGGTGTCCCAAACATTTGACAATGACAAACATTGTCCAGTAAGGAAATGACATTCAAATGGTTGTGATCCTTTTCGGACCCGTCTCAGATCTTAAAAGCAATTCTGTATATCTTAGGATATGGAGTAAGAAATATTATCTGGAGAAAAAAGTGTCCCTCGCTGGGTTGATACAATCACTGATTATACAAGCTAGAGAAGTTTTCTGAGGAAATTTGTCCACTGACTTCATGGGTGCTCAACATCCCTTTTTTTTCTTCCACTCCGTAGTCCTGTCTGGAGTCTTTTCTCTCTTGTCCCTAACCAGAACTTAAATTCGCAAAAGTGATCTTAAACCTTCGTTCTATATGTATTTAAAAACCAACGAGGTAATAGTTATTAGCTCCCAGATATGAGTAGACGGAGAGAGACTTAGTGGTGGTGTGTGTCCATTTGATTTTGTGGCTTTGGGGAACATATGAAATAATATGTCTATAAACATATCTGTGATTGGTCCAGAGTACACTTCATGAAATCTGGATGCGGGTGCCTGATGAGGAGAGAAGTCCCACCCCACCCTCGAGGAGTACAGGGAACCATTGACCACGCCCTTCGCGGTGGTCCTTTGCTTTTCCCAGGAACCTCCGCCCAGAGCCACTTACCTGGACCTATGGCTCATAGAGAACTACGTTACCCCGAAGCCTACGCGCCGCAGTCCAATGAAGGCCCGAGAGAGGGGCGTTTCCAGGAGTGCGAAAGGCGGCTGGGCGGGACTTCCGGTATCTTCTTGGCATTGGACATTTTGTCGCTTTTTGCTAGGCTCTACCCAAGCCGGGGCTTTCGATTGCTCTGTTAGGCCGGAGGTGGAGGGGTCGCCCCCGTTTCACAGAGACTAGTCGGAGGCTCGGCGTTAGCGACGCCCACCGGGGCCCCGCAGCCGCAGCGAGACTTGGGAAGGCCGTGTATGCGTCCCCGTCCTAGACCCGGGCCGCTCCGGGCCCCGCTGAGCACACCGAGTCCGATGGCGGCGGCCGCGCCCAGGCACCCGGCTCAGGTAAACGCTCGTCCCCCGGGCCCTCCCCCAACTCATACCCTAAAGGCTCGAGCCACGGCCGGGTGTCGGACGGGGAGGCGGCGGTGGGCGGGGGCCCCGTGTGCGAGCGCCGGCGTGCTGGCGTGAGGAGCGGGCTCCGGGCCGAGGGGCCGGCGGGGCAGAGGCTGGAGGGAGGCTGGAGGGGGCCCCTGAGGCGGGAGAATTCTGCCCTCAGGGGACAGCGCGTGAGGCGGGGTCATGCCTTTCCTGAGAAGTTGTACTCATTGTGAGGACTCTGGGACCTCTAGGGTTTTGAATAGAAGAAGGACTTAATGTGAGTGGGGACTAAAAACGTAGCCACATTTTTCCGCAGAGCAAAACAGATTAGGTTGGGGCGTGGAATATGAATGTGGGTTCTTGGAGACCGGTAAGTCGGCTAGTGCGGCGGACCCCCGAGGATGTTCTGATGATGGGTGAACCAGAGTAGTGCCGGAAGAGAGGGAAGTGGTCAGATTCTGGGTAGATAGAACCAGCCGTAGTTACTGCTGCATCAGATGTGGGTGTGATTGAAAGTAAGGAGTGAAAAACCAAGTCTTTAATTTTTGCTGTTCTCTTGTTTTTCATGGACGTCTTGAAAGTGGAAATCGTGAAGTCAGTGTAGGGAGGTTTCAGAGGGATCATAAGTTGAATTTTGGACATGGTTGATTCTGAGATGTCTGGGCTTAGAGGTGTCATATGGGATCTGGGATGGAAGCTGTAGGGTTCTGGGAGAACCGGCTGGATTGGAGATATCCACAGGGTGAGAATAGTGGTCTGGACAAGGTCAGGGCCTGGAGATCAGATTTAGGGGTAGCAGTCTTAGGTATGTTGTTTTATTTTATTTATTTTTATTTTGAAAGATTTTTAAGTAATCTCTACACCCAACATAGGGCTGGAGCTTACAACCCCAAGATTAAGAGTCGTGTACGCCACTGACTGAGCCAGCTAGGTGTCCCTTAAGTATGTTATTTTATTTTATTTTATTTATTTATTTTTTTTTTATTTATTTGCGAGAGAGAGAATGAGAGACAGAGAGCATGAGAGGGAGGAGGGTCAGAGGGAGAAGCAGACTCCCTACTGAGCAGGGAGCCCGATGTGGGACTCGATCCTGGGACTCCAGGATCATGACCTGAGCCAAAGGCAGTTGCCCAACCAACTGAGCCACCAAGGCGCCCAAGTATGTTATTTTAAATGGTCCCTGGTGTGGAAGGGGAGGACTGTCGCTGGAGGGCAAGGGGGAGTAGGGGAAAAAGCGTGGGCATTCCTGACACTTTGCACCAGAAGGAAGGAGCCCTGGCATTTGAAAGGGTTCTGCCCAGTGTCTGCATGAAGAGAAGGCTGTAGGGCATGAGGATCCTGGCATGGCATGGTGACCCACCAAGGTTGGGGTTCTGTCAAATGGCTACAGTCTGATGACCTCACCCTCACTTTTGAACAGCCTGTCCTAAAAGAAACACACATTGAAAAGCTCCTCCAGTGCTAGGAGTGATTTCAGGTCACTCAGTCTTGCCAAAGACTTAAAATACCTCAAATACCCTATGATAGATTGTCTCAGCCTCTTTATGTCTTTGACTAAAATTTTCCACGGACAAACTCACTGGGGACATCTTGCCTCACAGGAAGTTCCTACCAAAGCATTCCTCTAATACAAGTTGTTCCAACACAAGAGATGTTTCTGCTCACATGCCCTAGATGTGATTTTTATGAGTATAGTGGACGCAGAACTCCACCTGTAACCATCTTAGCTTGGACTCTTTTTTTTTTTTTTTAAAGATTTTATTTATTTGACAGAGACACAGCGAGAGAGGGAACACAAGCAGGGGGAGTGTGAAAGGGAGAAGCAGGCTTCCTGCTGAGCAGGGAGCCGGATGCGGGGCTTGATGCCAGGACCTTGGTATCATGACCTGAGCCGAAGGCAGCCGCTTAACCGACTGAACCACCCAGCCGCCCCTCTTTTTTTTCTTTTTTAATTGAAGTATATTGACACACAAAATTACATTAGTTTCGGTGTACAAGACAGGTTTATACATTATTGGCTGGGACTCAAGAAACAGATTAACAAGCAAAAAATAGTTTATTGATGTGTGCAGCACAGGTGGGAGAAACCTAAATCAAAAAGTAACTCAAAATGGTGGTTCAGGGTTCCAGTTGATATAGCGTTTCAACAAAGAACAATAAATTCGCAGAGAAATGACAGGAAGAAAAGTAGTGTTAGACTTCCAAGGGCAGCAGACTGTGGGAAGGTAAACACATTGGAGCAAACTAATGTATGATTTATTTGCAGGTTCCTTTGGTGCCAGTCTCTGGGCTGGTAAGGATCTAGATCCAGTAAATGGAGAATTTATATCCTGCTTTTGGGCAGAAAAGGGAGATTTTTCTTTGTTTGCTGTTTCTTAATTGCCTTCAGCTCAAAATAATTTTTGATAATATAATTTGATAATTATTTTGAAAATAATATATTCTGGGGCGCCTGGGTGGCTCAGTCATTAAGTGTCTGCCTTCAGCTCAGGTCATGATCCCAGGGTCCTGGGATCGGGCTCCGCATCAGGCTCCCTGCTCCGCAGGAAGCCTGCTTCTCTCTCCCACTCCCCCAGCTTGTGTTCTCTCTCTGGCTGTCTCTCTCTGTCAAATAAATAAATAAAATAAAATAAAAAAGAAAATAATATATTCTGGTTTCCTTCTTGAACTGCAAAACAGCCAGGGAAAAAAGTTTGGATTATTTAAATTTCTAGATTATTCTCACTTTGTATTTTCTATCTGATTTTATAAGAGAATTAAGCTTTAATGTCCTGAAGAATCCATTGTAGATAATGAATTGATTTTTCTTCCATGCATTTAGACTGGTCCTAGGCATGTACCTCCCATGGTTTTTGTTTTGTTTTGAAGATTTATTTACTTATTTATTTGTCAGAAAGAGAGGGAGCACACATAAGCAGGGGGAGCAGCAGGCAGATAGAGAAGCATACTCCCCACTGAGCAAGGAGGCCAATGTGGGACTCCATCCCAGGACCCTGGGATCATGACCTGAGCCCAGGGCAGATGCTTAACTGATTGAGCCATCCAGGCATCCCCTTCCATGAGGTTTTTAAGACAATATTCACTGAAATTATTTTATGTAGGAACCAGTTCTCTTATGGAACTCTATTTGTGAAAGTCTGTTTAAGATTATGACCATACCAGGGTTGCATGGGTGCCTCAGTTGGTTAAGCATTTGCCTTGGGCTCAGGTCATGATCCCGGGGTCCTGGGATCAAGCCCCACATGGGACTCCCTGCTCAGCGGAGAGCCTGCTTCTCCATTTTCCTCTGCTGCTCCCCTTGCTTGTGTGCGTGCGCTCTCTCTCTCTCTGTCAAATAAATAAAATCTTAAAAAAAAAAAGATTATGACCACACCAATTCCAGTGTGAAGGGGTGGGTTTAACCACACCAAGTCGCAATTCTCTGACCCACCTGGGTATCCTACAGTTCAATTCAAATCTGACACTATTTGGCAGGAAATACTGTGAGATCTCACAGGTTAAGGGTTTAGTCCTGTAAGACTGTCTGCCCTTCCCCTGTCAGACACCAGTCACACATTCATGCTATCACCTGTGTTTCTGACCCAACTGGCTATAGATTGGAGGTTCCAATGACCGCCACCCCCTTGGATTTGATTAATATACTAGAATGGCTCACAGAACTCAGGGAAACATTTTACTTAATAGATTAATGATTTATTATAAAAGGATATAATTCAGAAACAGCCATATGAAGAGATGCATAGGGCAAGGCGTGGGGAAGGGGCACAGAGCTTCCGTGCCCTCTCCTGATACACTGCTCTCCCTGAATCTCCACTTGTTCACCAACCCAGAAGCTCTCTGAACCCTGTCCTTTTGGGGTTTTGTGGAGGCTTCATTATATGGTCATGATTGATTAAATCCTCAGCAATTAGTGATTGATTAAACTCAGTCTCCAACCATCAGCTCTCTCCAGAGGTCTGGGGGTAGGACTAAAAGTTCCAACCCTCCAATCATGTGGTTGGTTCTCCTGGCAACCAGCCCTCGTCCTCAGATGCCTTCCCAAAGTCACTTCATTAAGAAATCTTTTCTCTCATCACTTAGGAAATACCAGCGGTTTTAGGAGCTCTGTGCCAGAAACAGGGACAAAGATCAAATACATATTTCTTGTGAATCACAGTATCACACTGACCTAATAAATAACTATATCTGTGTTCATAGAGAATTCAGAAAACTTAATCTGTATTGTGACTTTATTTTTGCCTTAGTGAATGTAAGTGTTTAAAAGTTCAGTGATATAAAACAAAGATGAATATCTTGTAAATGTTACATTCTTTTTTTGAATATTATATTCTTAATATCACCTATATGCTTATTCTTTTATCCCTTTCTGAGAGAATAGGCAAGAGCAAGTAATTTATACATTTGGTACCCACAATTCTTTTCAGTTTTTTACTTTAAATATTTTATATATTTGAATTATAAAGAAAGATTGTCAGACTATTAAATGCATAGGCAAACTTTATACAGTCTAATAAATGATCCTTCATTACAAAAATAGAGAAAAACTAAAAAGAATGGAATGAAGTAAGACACAAATACTAATAAGAGGGTTGGAGTGATTATATTAATATGAGAAATTGTCAACTTCAGAAAGTAATATTACCAAAGATAACATAGGGACATTTAAAATATTAGATAAGTAATTTAATCAAGAAAATGTAAGAATGCTAAATATTTGTACATAAGAATAAGCCTTCAAAAATTCTTTTAAAATATTTTTTCTATATTAACTTTTTTTCTAAAGATTTATTTATTTGAGGGGCGCCTGGGTGGCTCAGTCGTTAAGCGTCCACATTTGGCTCAGGTCATGATCCCAGGGTCCTGGGATCGAGCCCCGCATTGGGCTCCCTGCTCCACAGAAGCCTGCTTCTCCCTCTTCCACTCCCCCTGCTTGTGTTCCCTCTCTTGCTGTGTCTCTCTCTCTCTCTCTGTCAAATAAATAAATAAATAATCTTAAAAAAAAAAAGATTTATTTGGGGGGTAGAGAGAGAATCTCAAGCAAACTGCTGAGTATGGAGCCTGACGTGGGGCTTGATCCCTTGACCCC